TTTTGATTAGTCATTTGCCCTTTAATTATCGGAGTGAGTTAGTGAAATGTTTTCAATAACTTTGTGCACATTAAATGATTTAATTTATAAAAATATCAGTCTTTTTTTTATTGGGCCCATGGCCTTCTTCCTGGAGGCTTCTAAAACACAATTTAATACATGTGTAATACATGTTAAGTGGATATGTCCCTGTTCAATTATACATTTGATGGGGTTTCAAAGCAGAAGTTAAACATACAGTAATGAATTATGATTTTCTGACAGTATATTGTCCGGATTCACAGCAGTCGTTTTTAGGGAAACAAGCTCTGTTTAAATTGGATTTGCTGTGTGTGTATTAATCATTTAATTCAGTATTGTCTCTGTGTTGTTTGAGCAATGCATTGCCAGCTTGTTCCATTAAGAGCCATTAAGTTAATAATTTACCATCACTGTGTCAAGAGAGCACTGTTTGACTTCAAGCTAGATCAAATACTCTCAGTTCACTCATTGCTGTTGTATGTGTATTTGTCAGAGCTGATGCCATTTCCATTGACCAAATATTCCTGTTCATGAAGCTTGATATTCCCTGATCATTTAAAGAGGTGTTTTTGGCCCATGTGCTCTGTGATATTTAGAAATTATGACTCAACATAATGTGATGCATCCACTGATTTAGATCAGTGTATCATATTTAATGGAGTAAAGAGACTGCCTCTTATCTTAAATTTTTTTTTTCTCTAAATGCAATGCCTAAAATGATGTGATTGAAATATCCATATGACTGTACTTTTGTTCCTTAATAGCCTCATTGTATTTTTTAAATATGCAGTTGAGATCTACTGGTTAATCTATATACATATGTTTATCTCTTGAATACTTTGCTATGTATCAAATAAAAAATCTTGACCAGGGGTGTATCAGGTAATCTCAGGCAAAACTGTAGGGTGCTCCAGGGTGGGAACAAAATATAAAAATTGAAAAGTGGATCCCGTTGCAAAATAAAAAAAAAAAAATCCACATCTAGGCACTCGCATAGTAAGCACAGTAAAAATGCTTTTTACTGTGTACTATGTATGTTTGTATGATATATACTACTGTATAAAAGTTTGGGGTATGTTTGATTTTTTTTTTTTGAGAATTTTTTTCAGCAAAGTAGATACACAAATTCATCAATATCATTTATCAAAAGTGACAGTAAAGACATTTATATTTATAATATAGCCTAATATGTATAACGTTACAAACAATTTCTAATTCAAATGAATGGTGTTTTTTAACTTTCTATTTATCATCCTAAAAATATTTTAGTTTTCACAAAGATATTAAGCAGCACAACTTTTTTTCAACAGATAATAATAAGAAAGTATAAGTATTCTTGAGCACCAAATCAGCATATTAGAATGATTTCTGAAGAATCGTGGGACTTGAGTAATGCTGGTGAAAATTCAACTTTGCCATCACAGGAACAAATTACATAGTAAAATATATTAAAATAGAAAAGTTACTTAAAAGTGTAATATTTTAGAATATCACTGTTTTTACTGTATATATAAATGCTAGTTTGGTTTTAGTTTTAGTGAACTGTAATAATAACCCTGCTAGATGCATGCATAGACTGTTAAAAACAAACAAAAAAAGGATGAATGCACTTTTTAACCTTCTTTTAAAAAAATGTAAAAGATTTTGTAATAACTCTTAACTGCCGAGTAATACATTTTGTAAGTTTAAGATGATGAGAGAACCAAAGGTGAACTTGATGTCACATGTCTTAAACAAGTTGTATAACTTCATTGCTCTCTCCCAGGTCGTCCCCTCATCAGCAGAGTGCAGATGAATTACGAGCAGCCTCCCCCCTACACGGGGCCGGGCCCCACCGCTCCAGGATACCCCCCTCCCGCTGCTCCCGGGTACCCTCCTCAAGGATATCCTCCTCAGGGATACCCTGCACAGCCGTACCAAGGATATCCAGTCAATACTGACCAGCCCAACCCTGGTTACCCAAACTACCCTCCTGGACCCCCTGGGTCATACCCGGTCCAGCCAGGATACCAGGGGTACCCACAACCACAGTATGGTGGCCCAGTGTACGGGGAGCCTCCTAAAAACTCTGGTAAGATCCTTGATTTCCTGTCATATTGAACACATTTTCATTTGCACATTATTCAGGTTAGATTCACTCTTAACTTCCTCATAAACGTCCTCATTTGTAACAGTGAGGTCAACAGATTTACACAAAACACAGCTTGCACAGTTAGTGGAAATGTTTGTTGCTCATAGTTTCTGCAACAGTCATGTAATCATTTCAGTTGTACAGTATGTAAATTATTATTTTTCTTGGTGTTCTTCATTTTATCGAGTTTAATAGGAGGTTGACATAAGTCCGAAGATTGCAGTATGTTTTTAGCTGTTTAAATTACATAATGAAATTGTTTAGCTTCTGTGATTTGCTTGGTTTTTAAATTACGTGTTAATTAGATGTTCTGCTAGATTTTAATTAGGTGTAAATTAAATGTCTAATGGACGTTCGCATACAGTGGAGACCTTCTGAGACCAATTGAAAAACATGTAATTTATAATCTACTTGCAAAGTTCATACTGTTGCCATTCTGAGCAGTGTTTTTCTCCATCTCTGTGTTTTTTCTCCAGTGTATGTTGTGGAGCAGGGCAGGCGGGATGATTCTGGGGAGCAGGCATGTCTAACTGCATGTTGGACGGCTCTATGTTGCTGCTGTCTCTGGGACATGTTGACCTAGAATAATAAGGAAACCACTATGAGTCTCTCTTTTATTTGTAAAGTTCTTTCACTCCACGTTTCGATCCTTATTTATGTGTGACTACTGAAAAAGTAATTAAGAAACAAATAGAGTAATGTTTTGGTTGTAGAGTCTATTTCCAGTAGTCCAGCTTGGAGCACCAGTTTTTATTCCTTCAATGATGCACGATACGCACTGAGAGACTGATTACTTGCGTCGATCTTATTTGTAGAGGCTTATTAAACTGAATGTTTTTATTATTTGTCTTTTGAAAATAATATGGATGTCATCTTCATTAATGAATGCAAACATTACAATTTAGCTTGTTTATTGACCAGATTTGATAATCAAAAATGGCCTTGAATGTTTGAGCTGACTTAATATGAGTCAATCACAGAAAAAGTTTGTTTCTGTTCAATAAAATAATGGAAATAAGGCTTTTGTTTACTCAAAATGTGCTTTCTGTGTTGTTTCTGCACTACTAACATACACCAAATGGATGTCCAAAAACAATAATGATTTTCAAACTAATTTTCTGGTTGTGTTGTGTTGAGTCAGTGTGGCCTGTTCAAGATGGTCTGGGTGCTCAAACAAAACTAATGTTATGAAAACACTACAGAGCCACAGTGTTTACCCTTTTTTTTTTTTTTTTTTTTTTTTTTTTAGGAAACCAACTTATAGTTTCAGCATATTAAACTGATAGGAGGCCATATTTAAATATTGAAAAGTGTTTTCTTTTTTACAAACGGAAACAAAATGTAACATTTAACAAAAAACATTTATCTCCTTTGCCCCTGTGAAGCAAAAATACTACTCTGAACATTTAATTGCACGTCATTTTAAACACAATATGAGGGAACAGACCTGAACCTTTGCCACAAAGTATAAAACATTCAACTTATTATTGGCTAATTTATGATCTGCTTTTTTTCTGTCTGCATTTTCAGCTAGAAAGTTAATGTTAAATTGTAACTAAATGAGATAGTATTGACTGCGAATCCTTTATTAATGATCACACTTTACTGGCTTTTCATTGTCTTCTACTGAAGCGCTCCACCCCTCAGATACTACAGATGGCACACTTTTGTCTACTAACATTTAAGCGTGACAAAAATCATCACTGATTGGAATCTAGGATAGATGGTTGTATTTATGTTCATAAATAAAGAACCTTTAAAGAACCTGTAGATATGTTGACCTCATGGCTTTGCTGGAGGCTTTTTTTTTTTTTTTTTTTACTTATGTAGGTGTGTGTTGAAATACACAGGGTGACCAAATGTCAAGACGCATCAAGTTCCTGGTAAGCAGAATTGACGAACTGACGACATCCCTTGTTTGTTTTGAGTTTTTTAACATGTACCTGGCAGAATCTCGAGAGAAAAGTGCAACACTCTTTGAGTGATCCCTTCCCCCAGCACCAGTGTGCATCACTTCACTGGAAGTGGTTCCCATGGGTGTAAACTTAACACCTGCACTGCAACAGACTATTTAAAGCAAAGCTGTGTTTACCATTTTCTCACTGTCAGCAATGCCAGCTACAGCCGGTCTAATCATTGGCCATTCAGTCTTAAAACATGGAAATAACAGCAAAACGATAAATAATTACTATATTGTTTCAATTCAATGGTAGTAACTTTTTCAAAATGTCAGAATTCTGTTTATGTCAGTCCTTGTCGTCTTTACAAAACACTTCCTGATGTTCTCAACTGAGTGCCATTCCACCTCACTGGCCACAGACAATCACGGTTTTGACTTCTAGTTCCATTTTAACTACAATTCTGGATAAGAGAATAACAGGACAAGTCATTGTTCTCCGAGTCTGAGTAAATTACTGTATAGACTTAAGTGTAGAGCATTATGCTTGTACTTTTAGACCGAAAAGAATCTGTTAGACAGAATGCAGTTTTCATGAAACTTTTTTAGATTCATGTTGGCTGATTTTTAAGTCACAAGTACAAACAAATCCAGACCAAATCATACTTTAGAAATAAAAAAAGGTTTTCCCAATACAAAAATAACCATCTACACTTCAATAACCTTTTTTCTTTTATCACTTCACTGGAAGTGGTTCCCATGGGTGTAAACTTAACACCTGCACTGCAACAGACTATTTAAAGCAAAGCACCCTAATCTTTCTGATTGAGGTTGGTCTACTGTGTACTGCTCTTTAGATATTTTCATTAAATTTCATTTATGGGAATAATGAAACAATCGTTCTGCTCAGCTGTAAAGGAAGTAATTCAAATTCAAAAAGTACAAATGCAAATGTTTTATTTTAATAGAATTTCCAAAGAACCTCCTTCCACAGGTGTCTCGAGTGTGACTTTGCAAGTTAAAGCTCATATCCACACTGACTTACCACATTCAGAAGAGATTCTACACCAAAAAAAATTGCCAACGGCTGCTTTAGCTTTCGTAATATTCAAAGAAATCGACCTCTGCGATGAGTCTTGCAATGGATTTTCACACAACGCAGTGATGAAGCCACTTCCTCGAAGAAATGTTCTTGATTTGATACACCCAAACTGTCGAGTCAATGAGAATATTTTACATGTGTAATATGTTTCACAGTTTCACAGACTTAAAAAAAAAAACTATATATATTACGCTTTCATCTGTTTTCACTTGCCAAGTTGAATTTAAATTAATAAAATAATAAAAAATCAGACAATCAATAATCTCTTACATATTATACAAAACGGTTGGCTCATGTACAGTTTTTTGATCAATGTATCAGCCCCTGTGATTGTCATATATTGCGAACAGAAGAGGACAGACGGTGTGAGCTGATGATTAACACATCTAACGAAGGCCAATCCGAAAGCTCAGCCTCACACGGCACGATTAAAATCTTAATACCGAACACTGCATCGACGTATACCGAGAAAATTCATGAGGAACGAGACTGAAAGTGTCGAGACGCTGACGTTCCTTTTGAGTATGTTCCAGTGTAGTTTCACAAACACGTATGGGAGCAAGTGATGCTGTTTTATTGAGCACTGCGGCATAAGAGTGCGGTGAACTGATTGTTTTTTTCTGTTATGGTTTGATATGCAGTCATGAAAAACCAAAGCAGTGAGCCATCACACTACCATCACATGAATGTCCGCCACTCACAGCCAGTCCAAAATGACTAAAAAATATTTACCACTTTCTATAAAGTCAAAAGGTAACTACAAAATCATTGTTCACAAGTGCTTTTTTTCCAGTATTGGGTCATAGTGTTCTTGCTGCTGGCTGTTGGTTCTCCATTTTTTGGAAACGTCTCTGCAGCGCTCTGTTGTTTCTCTCCGTAGGAGATGGTGTGGCATCAGAGACGGCTAAACTCTGTTACCTCCTGCCCATCTCGTTCTGTTTGAGGAACTGGATGTTAGCGCTGCTGTCCGCCAGTTCAGGGTACTGCTCTACTGGGAGCACGTAGTAGCCCTCGTAACCCGCGACCTTCCCCATGGCTAACAGTTGTTGCTTCTCATTTTCAGCCCACACGCGTCCTCCTTCCCTGCCTTCGCGCACTTGCTGTTGCTCCCTGGCCCAGGCTCCAGACAGCGCCCTCTGGTGGGCTTGTTCCAGCAGGCGGCTCCGCTCCTTTTCCAGAACCTCTGCTGACAGCCCATACCGGACGCTGTATGTGAGTTTGGCGGAGTGGATTTCTAAAGTGACGCCCCGGCGGGATCGCCCGCTGACCGTCACGTTGATCCCGCTCTCCAGCGTCTTATGGCTGCTGCTGAGACCCAGGGCCAACAGGTCGCTGTCAGCCAGTCCAAGCTTCACGAAGAAGTGGCAGTCTCGTCCATCTATGGTGTAATGCGTGCCGTCCAGGTAGATGGCGTTGCTGAGGATCTGTGATATTTTGCGACTGTCTTCGCTAGCTGAGCTGGACAGGTCTGTTAATACGTGACCATCTTTGATAGCGATCATCATGCCTTTGCCTACGATGGGTGTGCTGGTGCCAAACCAGTAACCGGGCTTGTCGCGCTTGGTGCGCCGCTGTTTGTTGAGCCGCCTCCCCTCCAGAACCATGAAGGCCTGGTTGTGTCTGTCCACTGAATGCTGAACTCCAGTGAACAGCTGTAAAATGGGTGAACAGTTAGTGACACCTGATAAAAGTGGTTCAGCAGTAATATGATACATATGGTCACTTTCAATTCTAAGTTGTCTGATTTGTCTAAGGTACAGTATGTGTGAGAGCATTTCAGACAATTTGACAGAAAAGTATTTTGTCCCTTTAGACCAGGGACGTGCTGACTATGCAGACACTAAAAATGTTACATTTGTTGTTGTAGTTTTTTGTCCATTCTATTGCCTTACAAACAAACAATTGGTTTTCTGTTATGTATTCTACATTGTTGTTGCAAATTCTGCAGATTTGTCGGGAGGATAATGTTATTTAGCTGGCTAACATAAATGAGATTTTGTTGAAATTGCAAAAATAACTTTTTTTAAAACAATCACTACTGTTCAAAAGTTTGAGGTTTTTGAGACTTAATGTTTTTGAAGGAAGTCTTGTATGTTCACCAAAGCTGCATTTGATCAAAAATACTGTAAAACGGTAATATTATGAAATACAATTGCAATTTAAAATACCTTTTTTCTTTTTTAATCTATTTTAAAATGTAATTTATTCCTGTGATAACAAAGCCTGTGATACTCCAAACTTCAGTGTCACATGATGCTTCAGAAATCATTCTAATATGCAGATTTTGTGCTCAAGAAACTTTTCTTCTTATAATAGTTGCACATGCTTAATATTTTTGTGTAAACCATGATACTTTTTTTTGAGGAGTAGTTCAAGTTCAAAGCTTGAACAGCATTTATTTGAAATTATTTGAAAGTATTTTGTAACATTATAAATTACGTTCACTTTTTATCAGTTTAATGCTTCATAGCTGAAAAAAAATTCTTACTGTTTTGAACTATACTGAACCAAAAGTTTTGAATGGTAGTGAACGTATTTTTAACAAAAACATTTTGCAAAATGTCTTCATAAATTTGTTTAAACAATATTTTTGTGAATAATAACTTTTTTTGCACAGAAAAAACACTTAAAATAAAAAAATATAAATACTGAGAGCATATATAAAAGGGTCAAAGACGAAAAAGGGTTTAAGCATAAAAACAATAAGTGTAATACTGCTTTAAATTGCTGTTGTTTTCCCCCAAAAAATTTAAAAGTTTTGTTTAATTTAATTGCAATTTTGTTTTTGTTGTTCTGAGCAAAAAATGAATATCATACATTTTTCCCTGATTTACAGGAGAGACCCACTAAATTCATTCAAATGTCATTCAGTGTAACAATCTTGTCAGGCATATTTACAACAAAAATCAATTTATGACATATTAAAAGACTAATTACTTTCACCCCAAATACTAATTAGTTGTAATTGTACATTTTTTAAATGTGCCACTATCCTAGGTTTTGCCCAATTGTCAGTAAGAATTTTTTACTAATTTAAAACACAATAAAAT